CACTGTGTTCATCTTGTCCTATCATCAAATAAAGCGGTGTCCGTAGTTCTTTCTTTTTAAGAAAGAAGTGGACATTATGGTAAACTTTGGAAGATTCGAATTCTTTTACGAAAAAAAACATATATATAAACCCTTTATTTTCATCTGATGCAAAAAATGATCATGCATGCATTAGAATTTGGTCACATTTAATAATGATAGTTCACACTTCATGCAAAGATGTTTATCTTTTCACCAAACTAAATGTTACAGGTAGGTGTTAGCGAAGTGCATTTATCATTCTTGTTTCATTAAAAAGGTGTGTTAAAACAAAAAATATTTGTTTCAATCTCTCTCTCTCTCTCTCTCTCTCTCTCTCTCTCTCTCTCTCTCTCTCAAGCAGAAAATGTTTTTTCCTTGGTCATACATGTTAAGGTTGGCTTAAGCCTTTGACATCTTATGCGAAGGAAACAAAATATTCCCAAGGAACAAGGCATTACGAATTCTTCATAGAATAGAAGCATTTATGATTTGGAAATATTTTTTTCATCCAATCAGATCAGAGGTTATTTTTTTCTTCTTTTGTTGGTCTTTTGTTGGTCTTTCTATTACCTATTTTAGGTTTAAGCAAACATCTATGACTTAAAGTATGAAAAAAGAAAGGGGAGAACAATACAAATACGATCTCACATATTTAATTCCCGTTAATAATGTCGCTTTACATTCTGGGTGTTGTCAACAGCATAAATGCATCATTAAAATGAAAATTTAGCCTGCCAATTTTGTTCCCATGATGATTAAAATACCTTGCTAAGAAATATAGAATGTAATTTTAGGTCTTCTTTATAGAGTTAGCTCACGGTAAGGGGAACGTAGGCAGTATAGCGCGCCAATTTCCAGGGCAATTCTGCTCCCGGTGGAAGTAACCAAATTCCTAAATTCACGCAAAAGAGTCATAAAGCTTTCTCTCCTTATGTTTGTTTGATTAGGACCAATTACGTCATGACAGCGAAGTGATTTACGGGAGTGTTGTCTTCACATAACGAGATAGTGTTGACGGCTATTGGACACTACCAACACCAGCTTCATGATCTTGTTTTAATATTAGAAACGTTTTGTATGTGAAATTTTTATTTTCATGAATATATGCAATATTTAAGTGCTTGTTGAAACTTTCCTTGGCAAAAAAACTGCTAGCAAGAGTTTATTAGATTTATATCCACTTATTGCTTACACTGCTAAAAATAATGAAAGCATGCATTTTTTTTTTTTTTTTTGGGGGGGGGGGGGAGGCTGACAATACTAAATCCCTAACTCCTGAAATTCGGCGTACCAAAAGCATTTTATGAAATAAAAGCATTGTATTTAAAAAAAAAAAAGGAAAAAGGAATTTTCTATACACAGTCTTATTTTTATCTTCTGCTGATGATAGCTTTACGTTAATGCGTATGTATCTTTTTTCAGGATTCAGACGGATTTATCTGATGAAGCTACATGTATATGACATGGCTGGTCCATTAAATCCATTAGTTGACGTATAATCTGATGCTTTAAAGACAAATGTATTCAAGGGTTCGTTACATTATGGAGCGTATTAATTTATGGAGCTTATATTTAGATGAACTATAAATTCATGCGTAGTTTTTGTTTATGCATACATGCACAGAATTTTACCTCATACGGTCATATTCACCGAATTTTACCTCATACAGTCACAAATCACAGAATTTTACCTCATACAGTCACAATTCAACGAATTTTACCTCATACAGTCACAATTCACAGAAATTTACCTCATACAGTCACAATTCACAAAGAGTCTCCATTTCATTCTAGAGTGTCCCTAGATAGGTAATTCTCAATTACCAAATAATTTTAATTAATTTCTCTAAAACATCATTCATGAAACAATTTCTTTCGTAAACGTAAAACAGCCATTGTTACAACTGCTTTGTACGTTGTTCAAGAAGAAGACTGGTATACATGTATGTTCTTGGTCGGAGAACAAGCACTTCTATCGGATCATTTTAGGGGTTCTTATTTTAGGATTTTTAGGTATTTCTCAGCAACGAACAATATAAGCAACTTCAATGTGTATTGATATGGATTTAACACTCAAATGTAATAAGTGAATATAACGAACAGTGATTATCTCCAAATTCTTAAATACGTCACACATTTATGAACAGGGCATAAGAAGTATCGCTTGGAACTCCAAAGGTAGGATCAGGTGCCTAATACATGTAAGCATCACCGTGGACTGGCCACACTTGTCGTGAGCCCTTTACATTGATCAGGTAGTCGGAGTAATCTCAAACTTTGTATAAAAATAACAATACCTAACAATTGGTATGAAACATGTCAGTCAAAATATACGACCCAGTGATTAGATTGTACTACAAACAGGATCATTAAATCGACCATAGAATTTTCGAAATGATGACTTTAAACGAGGTTGTTGAGATCCCTGAACAAACAATTTATTTGTCAGTAGCTTGTCTTGGTTTTAAGATTTGTCTTGATCAATGCTTTCTTTTGTATATCGAATAAGATGGGAGACATAAACATAATATGTAGGTGATAGTTGAATATTACTACATAAATAAGAAAAGTTGACGATGGAAAAGCTGAAGCCATCTCGTTTAATAGAGTTAAGTTGTAAATTGGCCATTATTGTCAATAGTCAGTAAAACATCCTAATCTGAATCAGATGTGGGTGTTTTAAATATTTATTTCAAGTTCACTAGGACATATGGAGTCGACATATGAATGAAAGTAACTAATGTTTAGTGAAAAATCGATATATCTAAATGTCGAGTTGAAGGCCACAGCAATTTTTGTCTCCTCATGTAGATTTTTTTTAAATAAATTCTGCTTCATAGAAATGTACAGATAAGTTGGAAATCCAACAAATTGTTGGAAAACCATGTCTCCAAAGATTACACAGGTATTGTTAATGAAGAACTCCAGCACCTTTTTAATATCAACCTTAGCGTACTTGTGTGTAGAATTAGAAGTTCGTTGAAGAAATTGCGAGACTATGAATCTGATTTTTATAGCAATCTCGAAATTTTCCATTGAACTCTAAAAAATGTTGCCAAAAAGAGAACTCTGCTTATACAAGGAAAAAGAAATCTCCCAAACCTTTTGCTTTCAAATTTGATTTCATTCATAAGAATTAAGTAAATCATACAATCATTTGTATCACTGAGATCAGTTTGCAATAAAGATTTCAGTGAATCCAATTCCCTCAGGCAATACATTACTATACAGAATTTTACTGGTTTCGGGGATGTTATTGTATTGTTGACCCCGCACTGCGGTTTACAGCTCCACAGAGAGCAGATTTATAAGGATGTCATTCCTGGACTTTGTTGCATAGAGAATTGGTTTGTATAAGTTCATGTAGGTACTTCCTAGTCAATGTCAGACAATTCACAAATGAAACATTCGATATAAGTGAATTTTTTTTTTCGAATTGGACGTAAAACAACAAGCAATTAATCTTAGGAAGTATCTATTCATCGCATCGTCATTAAGGTATCTAGACTGGGTGATTTGTAATGTTTTTAACGTATCAAATGGTATACACGTATCCTAACATTATAACTGACGACGAAAAAAATCATAAATCTTACAATCGTACGTCAGTGTTTATTAGAAGCTGGTGCCTCGTAGTCTTCAGATAAGGGGTTTCTATTTTCAATGCTAACTTTGCAGACATATTATTTCTGTCTTCAACATGTCTCTCCTGTCCCGATAAATCATAATCTGGTATGAATAAGCATCATTTCTCCAACCAAGCCATTAAATGGATATATCATTTCGAACACTAGTACGGCAAGTACTAATCTCTATTTTATGACTTAGACTTGCTATTGTTAAGATATTTTTTTCAATAACCTACACATTGCAAATACAAAAAATAATACAAAGAATTTGGAATTTACAACTGTGAACAACGATCGTCCCTCGTCATATAGGGCTTAATCTCGACATTAATATGGAAAATGGTTTTTATAAAAATCAATTCGTCATTTCGTGCAGTAAGTGAAAAATAATTAAAAATTTGGAACTCATAACGCATTTCACGACTTCAAAGCCAAAAACTTGAAATAAATGTAATATAATTTTTAAATGTGTATTTGAGTAGTTCTAAATTTAGAAAAAAAAAACAAACGACGTTTTCAATGGTGATAGTATACTATGAATTCGGATTTCAAAAACTATGAATGCATTTAGCAGGTTCAGATCATGATTTTTTGTTATAAAAATATAGTTCACACTTTAAATTTATGTGGGAATAGTAGGAAATTATTACTGAATTACGATAAAGATTTTATAATCAAGAGAATAAGTAGGCAATTTATAAATTGTTGCATCGATGTCCATTTAGAATATATTAAGTTATACAAGTTTATGTGTTTGCAAATCAAACATGATTTTGTCTGTTGAGTTGCTCTGGTGAATTGAATATCACGCCGATTGATAATTATCAATAATCCATTAGCTACACTCGGATGCGCATCCCAGCTAATCCCTATCCGTGAAAAAAAATATGGATCGGAGACGTCAATATTCAAATGTCCATATGCCTTTTAAATTTATTGCGACTTCAAAGAGCTGCGAATGGTTGAAATGATTTTCAGAAATGGTTTCATCTGTACATGAAAATCTCCATAGACTCTTGAAAATGTTGATCTTAAAGAATGTGGATGATGTAGTTTTTTCATGAACTATACCATTATCTTTTTTTCTAATACTCTAGAGGTGGTAGTCAAGCAGTAGAATGTATTTAAATTATAGATTGTTTCCATTTATTTTACAATTAAGCATATCCAAACCTATTTAACCCAAATTTATATGGCAAAGCAATTTAGGAAGCTGTAACAGCTCACATGAAAATAATGCTTCAAGATTTTCAAAAGACAGGGTTCGATTGCTCATAAAAAATTCTATTTCTTAAGAAGTTAACATAGTTGATTTTCATAAATGTTGAATGCTCTATATATAAATTTTACCTTCATCTTTGCTCTGTACCATTGTTAATTTCCTTGATTAAACACAACGTCCATGTTTACACGGGATGCATCATCAAGTGTTCATTGAAAACCTTTTACGATTCCTGGAAATTTACATGGGACCGTGGCACATTACACTACAATCGATGTACATAACGCAGAGTATAGATTACAATGGACCGCGACAGAAACCGACAAGGATGCATCAAATCACTTTCAGACGAAATCAACAACGGCAATGAACAAGATGATCCCAAGCGCGTCTAACATACGATGGATTTTCCCGCGCGATCCCGTTTTTTCCCGCGCTGCTGCTAGAAGTAGTTCTGAGGAAGAATAAAGATGACAACAGTCGCAGTCCAGGAAAAGCTGGGTTGATTATCGGAATGTCTTTGACTTGATATATCTTACGGCAGCAGTGAAATCACGATCGGAAGTTGCAATTAATTATTGTCCGTTCATTCACTGCAATACAACACAGTCACAAAGTATCATCTCATTTGGTTTTTCGCGCCTCTTTATCCCTTTTACTTGCTATATCATTGTAGTCTATCCTAACATTATCAATTCATTGTATGAAATATTTATTATGTATTGATCTCTCCATGAAGCGAATAAGGTCTGTATTTGTAATTCGGTAATTTTTCACATTGCTGTATTTCCAATAAATAAAGTTTTACTTAAACGATGAATTTAGTGCAACTTGTAGGGTTTTTGTGTTGGTTTTCAAAAGACGGAGAGACTCGATACCTTAGCATGTTACAGATATTAGATTTTGTCACGATACCAAACCAAAAGCCTACAATAAACATGATGATGCTCTAACACGAAAGAGACATCGTAAATTGCGAGATTAAAGCTAAGTTGCTAAATTACTTTGCTACAATAATACTAGTATGTGGTTGGTTATCTTGAATGAGGATAGGAATGTATGAATTTCAATAGCTACATTGTCTAAAGGTATTTATAAGATAACGCTTCCTAAGGCTTTAATTGATCGAAAAATGGCATTAAATGACTTTCTCAGACAAAACATGCATATTTTTAAATGTTTAACAGATTTTAAAATCAATTTAACTTTCTAAGGTCTGTTGCCCACCAGGGAATACTTTCTATTGCACTTATTTTATTACATCAGGAAAATCAGAATAACTGGCATAACAACAAGATGCATCGGCCGGCAATCAATCAGCTTAACTGATAAGCAATCACCACGAACAGCAAGCATAGCTAGCATTATCAGAATACAATCAACAGAAACAGAAAACATAGCTACATGTATCGTTACTAGCTACAAAGAGCATAAAGAGCTAGCATTAGCAATAATAATCAACATGAAAAGCAAGCATAGCTAGCATTACCAGCAATAAACAGCATAAACAACAAGGATAGCTACCATTACTAGCTACAACCAGCATGAACAGAAAGCATAGATAGCTACTTGTATTATTACTAGCTAAAATCAGTATGAAAAGCAAGAATAGCTAGATTAACTAGCATACAATCAGTCTGAACAGCAAACATACGTAGCATTAATTGCATCCAATCAGCTGAACAGCAAGTATAGCTAGCATTACTGGCGTAAAATGACATGAACAGCAAGTATAGCTAGCATTACTAGCATTTAGTCAGCATGAACAACATATCGAACATTACCAGCATACAATCAACATTACTATTCTACATAAATACACAGTTTATTAACTAAATTGCTCAGAGAAATTTTCGATTAAAGGTCACCGGCATAAATTTCTAGCACGCGATTGAAAATTGGTTTACAGTATTGGAACCCAAATTCAGAGTTTCACATTTACAATCATGAAAAAATCTTTTACATGAAATATGTAGAGATAACGAACAGTATTCGAGCTCAAAAGTCCATTAAACATTACAAAATAGGAGCAGAGCAAACACGAACCTCTAAGACATCACACATACATATTATTAAAATTATTGGGGATTAATATACGGTAGTATATTGCTGATACTCAATGTACCAACTTCCTCTTACACTAGTGTCATTAGTATCTATGTGGTAGTATTGACCAAATTAAATAAAAAGTGAAGCGGCATAACTGACATGCCTATCATTCAACCAGCATAATCAAGTCTTCAGCATAAATCTAGGGATTCAAGAAAATCTCACCAATGCTGTAACAGGAAAAGATTCTGATATCGTAATTTTAATAATTGCCATTTTAGGATATAACCTGCATGTATGCAATGTTGATTAAAATAATCTGGTCTGTAGTTTCTAAGTGCAATTGTTTTGCAATTCTGCAATTCTCAATTCTGCGTTTTAAAGTTTTTTTCTAGGTTCCATTGTTAATAGTATATATTAGATATAGAGAAATATTTTGGGGATTGATATTGTTTTAATTCATCATTAATTGCTATTGATTCGATTTATAGTATTAGCTCGTATAACATAAAGTAATGAGATAAAAAAAAAAATTCATCTCGGTATCTCAAATTTGTCCCATTTGTCATAATATTCAATAATTCAGTGTCTAGTTTTATAATAATTGCTTGATAGAGGCATTTTGTAGAAACAGCAGTATATATAAATCAATAACAGAAATAATTCTGAAAATTTACACGTATTCCCGTTTTAAAACAAAAAAAAAACACAATTAGAGAATTCATGTTATTTTGTTATGCATACAACTGTCATTTTGTTAGTGGAGTTTTTATCTACATAAAATTCAGGAAACTTCTGCTCCGTTGTCGTTGGTGTGCCATTGATATTTAGAAGAACTATCTTAGATTTACAAATAGACTAGAATATGTTTTTATCTATATCCTTCAACTAATATACGTTGTAGTCGTTTTCCCCTTATCTTGCATATCTAATAATTATTCTGTCTTTGTTCTTATGCCCTCACTATTATTTATGCAAAAGTGATAAATGAGGTTCTATTTTCTATTCTTATCACGTGACCCTCGATCGTGATCAGCAAGACTGGTCTATGTGACATCCCTCTTGTGGATATGAAACCTAGCTTGATAATGCAGTATAGATTTTAACACTATTTGTTTTATTCTGTCACAAGCCTGTAATGAAAATAATTTTTTTCACTCCAAACTGGATCGATCCTCCTTAATGGGAAATTGAACCAGTCAAGGAAATTGCCAGTATAAGTGAGATGTATTGTTTAAGAAATAAAAAATGAAAAAATTATGGGCTTTCTTAAACCCATGGTTTAAAACAATAAAAGCTGAGAGAGAAGGGAATAAATGATGCATTGCACGTCTTAATTTAAGGTCTCTGTCAGAATATTTTGAGTTTAACAAAAAGGAGTTCATGAAAATTATGATGAATTTTTTTTTTCGTAGGATTCTCGCCCATTAAAGCGAAAAAAAATCCAACAATTTTTTTCCTCATTCAATATCAGCAAAAGAATAGATGTTTTATCGTAATGGAAAATACGTACTTCCTTTTCACTTCATCACTTAAACCTTCTCTCTAAACAATGACGAATCGATCAGTCATAGCATATTCAAAGCATATTCAAAAGATTTAAGGTGAAATAATTTATTTCTCTGAGCATGCAGTGTAATAAAATAAATAAATGAAATGGTAGTCTATGAAAAAGTATTGATTTCACTGATTGTTTAAACAGTTACCATAGGACAGCTTTAAGATTACACATAAGCTTTTACGTGTGTCTCTCAAAAAGGATGAAAACGTGAAGATAATGAACAGTTATCAATTAATATCATAAAACCTGTAAAAGAACGGGGTATTTGCAAACAAGGTCATAATAACGACCATACATTTTGCTAAATGCTGACGTTAAGCAAAAATGTAGATAACCTTGTAATATCAACGTATTTGACAAAACCCGCATCGGTATAAAACTTATTTTACTCGAAACATGCAATTGCGAACCGAATAAGATGGGGGAGGGGGGGGGGGCAGAAATACTGTATGCGGGTGATCGTGGAATATAACTACATAAGTAGGCAAATATGACAATGGAAAAGCTAGTTCTTTCTCTTTTGTTTGTCATGCAGGTTTGTTGTTAGTTTACCGTTAACGCCTATAGTCAGTAAATAATCCAAATATGAAACACGTGCGAGAGACTCAGTGCATGGAGTTTCTATTTCGAGTTCACTGAGATATAATTGAGTCGATATATGAATCAAATAACAATGATTGTCGAATATACAGTAAAACTTGGTCTTAATGAAGTCACTGGGACTTGTGAAATTACTTCTATTATAAGGAATTCGTAAAATTTATACAGAGGGGTATCCAAGAAAACTTCACTATATCCGTGAATTCGCAATATCCGTGTTCGTACTAAACGAGTTTTACTGTATCTAACTGTTGAAGGCCACAGCAAGGATTTCCTTTTTCCAATGTTGAATGTTTGAATAAATTGTGCATCGTAAGGATATGAAATAAGGTCGATTAAAAAAGGATCACAGTTAGTGACCATAAAAGTCGCAACAGCTTGTCGGAAGATCTGGTCTCCAAAGACTAAATAGCTATTGTCAATAAGGAACCCCGGCACCATTTTTATATCAATTACAAAGGAATTTTTGTGGAATCAGAATGATTTTGAACAAAGTAATTTTGTAGATGACCAATCAGAAGATATTAAAATTTTCAATTTCTATTTTTGCTGAATTAATTATGTGTCCTAATCTATAAGATTATTGTTATCATAAAGATAAATTATGCAAAAAAAAAATGAAAAAGAATCTTCGGTATGATATTGAGAGATGCAAGAGGGGGAGTTACAGAAACTTGCAATTATTCCCTACAACGAGGACATTTAAATACCCACCACGCTTCAAGAATTATATCTAAATATAGATACAGCGATATGTAGATGATATTTATATGGAGGGTATGCAAATTAAGCTTGTTAAAGAAAATACAAACCATATTTTATTTATTTCATGCATAGTTTTTCCTAACAAAGCAACCAATTGGCAACCTGATGATGGATTTTAAAAAAATTAAACGTACCTGTATCACAGGAAGAAACAAGACCTTTCAGTTAAAACTGAAAGGTGGCTTTCAGTGACTTTTCAGTGGCCATTCAGTCACTGAATGGCAGGTACATTTCAGTGACCTTTCAGTTACCTTTCAGCCATAATTCAGGCACCTTTCAGTCACCATTCAGCAGACACATGTCTTTCAGTGACCTTTCGGTCGTAATTCAACTACCTTTTCATCAGCTTTTCATTAGTTTATCAGTAGTTATTCCTTGATTTTTTTTAAATAAATTTATTCACATTTTTAAATGTGTTTTCTTATTGAATATAAAATTCAGATAAGTAGAACTGGTAATGGTTAGATGTTCAATCGTCTTTAAATTGTTTACTACAATGTTAAATTGTGATTATTAGCTGTAAGATTTATGTCTTAACATATTTTTATAAACATTAAAGATTACAATTCAACTGTGGACTCATAAAATTCAAAATTATTTTCGAATTTCTAACTTGTTTCATGAAAATTGATCTAGAAAAAGAAAATTATTCAAATGA